AAAAAAGTTACAAAAATTAGCCGGGCATGGTGGTGTGCACCTGTAATCCCAGCTACTCCGGAGAACGAAGCAGGAGAATTGCTTGAACCCGGGAAGTGGAGGCTGCAGTGAGCCGAGATTGCGCCACTGCACTCCAGCCTGGGCAACCGAGTAAAACTCTGTCTCAAAAAAAAAAAAAAAAGAGGAAAAAAGGGCAAGAGGCTGGGCTTGAACCTGGCTGGACCCTCCGCCACTAGGCCCGGCCTCCATCTGTGACTGGCACCCTGTAAACAGGCACCAGGAAGCTCCGCCACCCTCACCAGGACGGTGGGGCTGGGCGGCCGAGGGATCAGGGCCGGGATGCAGGCCGGATCTGAGTCTCCCCCCCCCGTGCACCCCCCCGCGCTCACCGGATGATGTCCGTGTACTCCCGGTCCTTCCCCTTGCTCTCTTTCCACTTCCTGTACATCACGGAGGCGTCCACGTTGGCGGGCGAGAAGGTATTGGGCTCATTGAGGAGGGAGATCACACTCAGGAGGATGGTCCTGCGGGGAGAGTGGGTTGGAGCAGGCTGGCCCGGGGCACCCCAGCCTTCCGGCTCTTCTCCGGCCCTGAGGGTCACGGGGAAACCTGGACCCACCCAGCAGGTGATTTTCATCTGGCCTCACGGCCTGTTTGGATCTCAGGCCCCCAGAACAGCAGGGGTTGGACCTGCATCAGCCTCCTCCCTCCCACGCCAAGACCAGGGAGGGCAGAAAGGTGCAGACCCCTGTCAGACCCGGGGCTGCTCTCACGCCCACATCCTGCCTGGGCTGCACTCCAGAACACACGGGCAACACGGGCCAAGGCCTGTACCTGGGACGACGCCCGGGTGGCACAGGTCGCACGTGGTGACCAACCCAGAGACAGCTGGGGAAGGAGAAGAGCCCAGCACCGAGGTGGGCGGGACACGTCTCAGTCATTCCAGAGAGTGGGGCTGGCCCGGAGTCTTGGTGGGAGTCCGCACAGACACCACAGTGCGGCAGGTCCCATGAAAGCACCCACCGTGCAGGTACAGGGAGGCCCAGGATCGCCAGCTGGCAGGTCCCAAACCAGGCCTTGGCGCCATGGCCCGCGGGGGAGCCCAGCCTACCTCATGTTCTGGGTGGACACGGGGGGTGGGGGGTGGGGCCGGCCTACCTGATGTTTTGGGTGGACACGGAGCATGGGGCTGGCCTACCTGACGTTCTGGGTGGGGTTCCACCTCTCTGAGGGCAGCTCCCCGCTCTGGGGGTCGTCCACCGGTGGATGGAGTATGGAGATGCACACGTCCCCCGTCTGCACAAGGAGAGGACAGGTCAGAACAGGTCAGAGGTCAGCACTGGCTCCCAGAGCCACGGGTCCCGGACAATGAGTACGTGAGGCCCGTGGGGGCCGCGCTCACCTCGTAGATGTTAGGGTGCCACATCTTGGTGAGGAACCGAAAGGCCGGTGGAGAGTACGGGTAGTCGATGGGGAACTTGAGGCGCGCCTGCAGGGACAGAAGGCAGGTGGCTCAGCCCAGCTCAGCCCCAGGCCCTGCCCCGGCTCACAGGGTGCCCGAGGCCATTCCACTCCCAGTGCTGGTGTGCTGGGGGTAAGGCTCAGGCCGTGTGCCTGAGGGTGTGTGTGAGGGACACCCTATCCCAGCCAAAGCAGGGACTCTCATGGGCCTGGGGTCAAGTCCCCAGCAGGCTGCCTCAAGCCTTTTCCGAGTCACCTGAGCTGATCCCAGCTCCTACGCAGTCCAGGTGGCTGCGGCCTGGCCCAGCACAGCCGCTGGAGATCGTAGGCACTGGCTGCCCGAGTGGCTCCAGGCCTGTGGCAGCCCAGGTCAGGCACATGGGACCCGGGCCAGGGGCACCCACCAGCCGACAGAACGGACTGGCAGGGGCTCCAGGTTCCCCTCGGATGGAGCTGAGGCACCACACCACGCTGCCCCTCCAGGGCCTTGGCAGGCACGGTGTGGGGAGGGTTTGCACAGACGACTGCTCACTCAGCAAACACTGACACCTGCCGGGCCCCGGGCCACGGGAGGGGATGAGTCAGCATGGCCGTCTGCCCTCAGGTGTCCAGTCTTGGGGGGTCAGGCAGGCAGACCCACAGGTCACAGAAGCCTGGCAGGACTCCTTCCCTGTCAGCATCGCCCCCTGTGGCCACCCAGGCCCTGGGGGTCCAGGCCTGCTGGCAAGGACGGCCACAGAGCAAGGACTGCAGCCACGTGCCGGGTGACAGAGCTGTCTGGCCTGCGGCCTGGGGCGTGATGCCACCCACGGCCCTCCTGGGCCCCAGCAGGTAAACAAGGAAGCCTCACTGTTTCCTTCCTGGGCCCCAGTGCCAGGCACGGGGGTGTCTGGGTCAGGGGTCCTGGTGGCACTCAGCACTCCAAGAGGCTGAGGGCAGTACCCCCAAAGAGCAATTGCTGGCGAGGTCCCTCCTGGACAGGGAGGGCTCTCAGGGGTCTTGGGGGTGTTCTCTGTTTGACAGGGAACTCACAGGGGCCCCATGAGGTAAGGGACTTGGCCACAGCCACAGAGCAAGGCTGGAACTTCAGGCTCAGAACTGCCCAGCAGTTCCCCAAGACTTCGGGACCCCCAAGCCTGGTGCTGGGTTTCCAGGCGGCCTCACCTGCACCGAACCCTGCCAAGTCCCAACGAGCCTCTTATTTTCAGCACCTCCAAAAATGTCTTTTACCCGGAGCAAACCCAGGCTCCGAGAAGCAAAGCCCCCGCCAAGGCCACACGGCAAGTCCGCCGTGGAGGGCTCTCTCTGGTGGCCTCTGCCCCAGGGCTCACTCTGGCTCCTGAAGGAACAGCAGCTGCAGGCAGTGGCCGGGCAGCAGCGGTGGCCCTGGGCACTCAGCAGCTCCTGTATTTCCACGCTCCCCCAACTCCCTCCCAGGCACACGGGGAAGAGAGAGCCCCTGTGGGTGGCAGCACCCCCCCCCCCCGCGTCTCAACGCTGGCCTCTGAGGACTGACCCTGCGGCAGATGTCTAGAGGCCCCCTCCCCAGGAAATCCGGAAAACCGGATTATCCCCTAATGCTGGTCCAGGAGGCTCTGCCCACAATCCCTGGCAACCGGTCTGGTGGGCAGCAGCCAGAAACCCGCATCCCTTCCTTCCAGAACAGCAGCCGCCTCCCAGGCCTGGCCTCGAGGTGGGGCCGCCCCTGCTCACAGCCAGCTGCTCCCCCAAGCAGACAAAAGGGGCTGGGGGAGGGGGCTGCTAAAACCATTTGACAACCTCAAGGCCCAAACTCTGTTCCCGGTGTGGGGACGCAGGATTCCAGCTGCAGAACCCAAGGACGTCCCACCCTCTGCCGTCACCCAGACCCTCAGCTCGGGCATCGCCCCCAGCAGACCAGGCTGCTGCCCTCACAGCCGCTGAGCGCGCGCGGTTCAGACATTAATTAGCCCGGAGAGCAGACGCACCGTCTGAGAGGCATCGGTCCCTCGGCCCCATGCCCGCAGCTGGCCGGGGCAGAGCAGGCCCGGCTGTGCCCAGGCTCTTGGCAGGCAGTGACGGCGGGAGGGGGGATTCCTGGACAGGGTGCGCGATCCCCACCTCTCACACGGGGCCCCTCACTTTGTCCCTCTGGCCCCAAGGACGAGGTCCTGGAACTCTACAAGAGCCAAAGGTCACGTCTGGATCGTGAGATCAGGAAAACTGGCCAGGCTTTGGCCTGAGTCCTTTCCACACTGGCCAGAAACAGTCTCCCTGCTCCCAACGGCAACAAAAACATCCAGAAACTGCCTGGAATGAAACCGCCAGAGGGCAGAAGGAATGGCCCAGAACTCAGGGTTGGGGTCACAGGAAGCCACCTGTTCAGCGGAATCTGAGAAAGGCCAAGGCCAGCTGGGATGAAGCAGCCCGGAGCTTCTGAGGTCGGGGTCCGGGACGCGGGCCGGAGCCGGGGGGCCCGGGGAGAGCTGCAGGGAGCAGGTGGGAGGGACGCCCCTGCCTCAGCCTTCCCGAGGGCGCAGGTTACATAAACCCGGGGATGGAGCCCAGGGCGCCTGGCCGGCTGCTATCGGCAAGGGTGGCCGCTTTCCAGGCAGGGCCCGGCTGCCAAGGCTCATCCGGGCCTTTGTTGGAGCCTGAGCGAGTGGCCGCGCCAGCCACCCCCAGGCTGGCCTCGCTCCCCCGCTCACAGGCCCAGCTCCCCAACAATAGCAGCTGCGGGGTCTGGGGGGGGCCTCTTTGTCTCCTCCGGGGAGGGCGGGGAGGGCAGCAGAAAGGCCGGGGCGGCCTGGGCTCCGCTCCCTCTTTCTCGCAGGGGCGGAGGGGGAGGCAGCCGGGGTCGAGCCCCTCCCAGGGAGGAGGTGGGCAAGAGCCCCACGCGCAGATGATACCGGGAGGGCCCCGGGCCACCCCTCTGCGGGCCAGGAGACTACCCGGGGACCGGACGGTGCCTTCAAGGGAACTGAGGATTCTCGGGGACCGCAGCAGAGGCTGAAGGTCCCCGGGACCGTCCGAGGAGGGGGCCGGGCACAGCTGGGTGGGGGGACCCGGCCATAGAAGGGAAGCGAGCCCAAGCCAGGAGGCTGCCGGGCCC